ATAAAGTAAAATAGTTTTCTGACACAGGGGGGAGATAGAGGAGGGGAGGGTCGTTCCACTTCAAACAGACATAGGAACCCCCAAACATTAGAAAATAAAAATCGAACAAAAAGTATAGAAAAGGAAGAATGATTTCAATGATTCAAATCACATAAACACGTTGGGGCCTTCTTGACCACATTGTGGTCATGGCCAAATGTCCCTACTGCCGACGTGTCCACAATATGGGCATTTTTTGTTCAATGTTCAAAGATTTTTAGAAAGTCAGGGAATTGGGCTAGGGGGCTACTCTCTTCGGCTTTAGGTAGGAGAAACCTGTAAGAATTCCAGGCAATTCCAGGTTACAGGTCAGACGGCTCCTTTAGCCCCTACCAAGGCAATGACCACAACGTGGACAGCCCGGCATCAGGGACCGGCGGATTTGAGGGCCTGGCCGTCGTAGGGCATAAAAAGCGGCCGATATGCCCACTGTGCGGTCATCCCGGCAGGAGGGGAGTGCAGCAGTCCTCGCCATGTCCACAGTGTGGTCAGGCCGGCACACGGGACAGTCAGGACCATGTCCACAATGTGACCAGCTCGGCAGGGGGGACCGACACTTCATGACCACAATGTGGCCAAAGCGGCAGCTCGGACCGACACTTCATGACGACAATGTGGTCAGGCCGGCAAGGGGGGACCGGCATTTCATGACCACAATGTGGTCAGGCTGGCAGGGGGGACCGCACTGTAAAAAATCAGTCTTGGATACGGAGCCTGTCACGGCGTTCCGTACCTCACTTTCGGAAGTGATTTTCGAAAGCGGTTCGGAGATTTGCCGTACATGGCCACCGCACCAACGAGTTTTACATGGGCTAGCATAGGGAATGGGGTACGGAACGAAGTAACAGACTCCGTACTCAAGACGAAGACCTTGGGATCAAAATTAGCAGGACTTTTTCGTACCTTTCCGTACCCACGTTTTTTTTTTAACATGGGCTCTTATGGGAAGAGGGTACGAAACCCAAGGTACGGAGACACCGTTGGTTAAGTAAACGGCATATTTCCGTATGGGCGACCGTGATTATTTTTTACACACAGTTAAAGTCTTACGAAGCAAAATGCCAAATGCTTCGGGTGCGGGGGCGGGCCTGTGCCGGTGTCGGGGATGCCTGCCGCAGGCTGTAATCGGATGCGGCCCCACCTGACAGGTCTACGTTGAGGCGTGTGTCGCGGCGCGCTGCGCAAACAGAAAGAAATTTAGACTATGATGTAAATCCACTGTATCGACACCGTAAAGATGTGACTTTTTTTACACTTACACCAAACGCATAGCTGTCTTATACTTGCTTCTTTTCTTACAATGTCTTACTCTTTCCTCATACCGTCGCACATAATTACCACAAAGAGTAGACTCTGAATGTCAAGGGATATTTTTCTTCATTTCGAGATGCGTCTGTGTTCCCCTCTTGCGAACCAGGAGCAGAGACAATTTTTTTATCTGTTGCCAGGCAGTTTCGTTTTATTTTGTCCAGCGTAGATACAAATCGCTAGTAAAACAAGTGTGCATAATTTAAACGCCAACTCGCGCAAGTTGTGATTTTAAACATTACATGGTGTTTCATCTCAAGTTGCACACTCGGACACACACAAACCTACAGGAACCATATGGTGTGCAGCTGCTATACTTTTCGGAAGTGTCGAAAGTTTAAACACCAATTGAAGTTTAACCTAGTTAAACACCACACTGTATTGAGAAAATGCACACTTTAACTTAAACACCAATTGACATGCAACATTAGTTAACATATCACTTAACACTTGTCTTACTTACCAGTGAATTGTCATTACACTTACTTCAAAATTGCAATTTTCGATAAATGCAAGTCGACGAATTTTGTACTGGACGGAAACTGTCCTTTGTCAATAGGAAATATGTCGCTAGACTGTTGCGGCCAGACTGACTGTCATTCATTTGGTGTATAGGAATATGGCGGGAAAAGCGAACCGTGGACCTCCCTCTTGTTTTCTTTTTAAATCTATCACTGATAGAATGCCCGTGTACTGCGCGATCTATCCCATAAAAAGGGGAAAGAGGGCTGTCCAGAAATAACAGGCGATTCACTCAGATTAATTCCGGGAATTACGGGAGCTCGGCGCCTGCAAGACTCAGGGTAGGCCAACCCGCGATACACGCATGCACTGTAAAAAATATGTTTGCCTGCCTGCCAGGCGCTATGAGAGCCTGCTCAACTGACCTGTTGAGGTCCATCATGGCAAATGCTAGACATATAAGTTGGGTGTCCTTTTATCTGGTTATACTTTCACTCAATTCAGGCGTGTGGATTGCATTTTCGCACGGGGCCATGAAGGGGCCATCGCAAGTGGCAAGCGCCGGTAGACTTGACCCTTAAATTGTTTTACCAAGATGTCTACCTGCTATTTGTGATTTTTCTCAATAGTGCTATTTGATATCCACTCCTTTGAGAAAAATTATGTGTAACAACGTATATTGCGATAGTTTGTAAATCTATGCTATCTGGTCAATACTTTTATAGGTTTTTCTAATCCTCGGTACAAGATAAATTCACAGGACAGTTATTAATCTCAAAATTTTAGCCCGTACATCAATATCTTATCTAATTTGCCGCCCAGAAGAACTTACTCCTTCCTTATGTAAGTGAGGCTAGTCTTTTGGGATAGCCGAAACAGATAGGATAGTCTTTCGGGGCAGCAAAACAGATAGGATATTGTTGCACAAACGCGTCGAAATTGTAATAGTTTCAAAAATAGTTTCATGGTGGTAACTGGCTATCGAGCGACAGTCTCATTTCGGATATCCGTTCGATATTATTTGTCTTTCTTCCGATACCTTTTTGACAATCGCTCAAAAGTTCTAGGAAAAAAATGTTATTCTGTTGCAGCAGTCTTCGTCACCCATCTAGCGGAACCCAGCAGTCCCTCTTCATCACAGCGGCACTTGACTTATCTGACCCCGGCCAGCCAGCCTCACTGACCGAAGAGGCCTCCCTCGCAGCCCCTGAGCTGGGCGCTGCCCCCTGCCACCCCCTGTCGCTCCCTGCCGCCCCCTCGGACCGGTGCCGCCTTCTTACGCTGCATGGGAAGCTTGTGATGAATCGGCGTTTAAACCTCGGCGCGGGCTAATCCTGCCTCTTAAAGCCGCATTCTTTACCGTCACTGCTGCTCGCCGCAGAGAGCCGCCCGCCCATTTTATTTTCAAACTATTTCGGAAAACATTTCTCAGGCGGTAGAAATAATAAATTAACAGGCCATTCCAAAGCGTATGGAACTCCGATATAAGCGGATTGAAGACGTCTGTCTTTTTATTGGCAATTTCTTTTTGTTCTGTAGTTGCAGCTTGCTGAACGTCTTAGTTTGCCACATTCAACTGTATAGAGCAGTGGTCGAGAGGTCGATAACTAGTCAACCATGGACCAAGGCGGGTGTTTTACTCGTTTTTCCGAAGTATAACTGATTGTTTACGGATGCGAAATATCGCGTGGATGGTATATACGGGTCAGGGAAGTGGCGCTCGAGTGGTGCGTATATCTTTTTGCCTCAATCAAAAATAATTTTAAAACTTGGGATTGGGAGATGGGGAGAGGGGACAGGACTGGGGCATAGCGCTGGGGGCGCGCGACCTTCCGCCTGTCAAGAGCGCCGTGTGCTAGGCGACAAGCTTTATCTCGCACCCCCACACACGCCCATATCATCAAAGTTATTCTTCTATAAAAAAATAAATTATGCTGAAATCGGGACGGGAAATGAAAGCCGTGGCTCGTCGAGACTCAGAGGGGTGGGGTCGGGTAGAGCTCGGGGTGAAGCTGTGATTGAGACGACACCTGCCGCTCCGGGGAGGGGCGGGGTTGGGTGGAGCGGGAGCCGATAGGCATCCAGGGCACGTGACGCCCTTTTGAGGCCTTCTGGCGAGGCGGGGCCGGTCACCGCCTTGTCAAAGATCAGAGAGCAGCTCCAACAGGCGCCTTGCCTTTGTCCGTGTGCAGCACCAGTTCAAAAGGCGTGGGGGGGGGGGTGCGGCGGGGATTACTTTTAATTCACCCGGGTATGTCTTAATGCTCCGCGGTCCTGAACTAAATCTTCATCTTTTTCTCGTCAAGAACAGCTAATTGCGATTTTCCTTTCCTTTTTTGTGTCGGGTGTCGCTGCGCGGTAATGGGGGGCAGATGTCAGCCTGCAGTAATGGCGCCCCCCCCCCCCCCTTCTCCTGCCTCCCGGGCCGTGTCGGTGTCCTCATCCTTTGATTACGGCACCGCCCGCCGCCGCTGCTGATAAGTTTCGTTTCGGTGTGGAGGATAAAGAAAAGGAATGGCAAGGGAAATAATTAGAGACTATCGGGGGCGTGGCACGGCTCTGGGCGGGCCTGGGCCCTGGTCCTCATTACCAACTTGTCTTTACGATAAATAATTTGGCCCACTGAGGTCCTGCTGGCTCGTCCTGGATATCCCTTTTATATTGCCTTTTTCCTCATCATTATTAATCCCCTTTTTTTTCTTTCCCTGCTGCCCGCGCTGCCTTCCGCGGGAAACGCCGCTGGCGGAGTGGGCTGGGCTCTCTGCTGGTGTCGGTGTACCCAATCGGACCGCTGTTCGCGGAAAATAAACTAAACCCCATCGGCTGCTGTTCCATTTGCAGCTCGCCTGGCATTGATGTGCGCGCGGTGTCACCTATTAGCGAAATGAAATCAGCACTGCGTGCGTGACCCCACTCCGCCCCGCCCACACCCCGCCCACACCCCGCCACTCCCGCCACCCCCGCCTGTGCACGGCGGGCGCTGAAAAGAACCAAGTTGTACGAAGCGCCGGTCTGAGTTTGCTCGGGCGGCGCGCTGAATAAGCGAAGCTTACAAGAAGCCGCGCGGGGGGAGCCGCGGGAGAGCGGGAGCCACGTCCGGCAGCCAACAATCGCTTCATCAATCACTATTGGGTGCCGCAGAGCAGCGCAGCGCGCAGCCCCGGGACCCGCACAGCCGCGCACAGCCGCGCAACGCCGCAAGGAAAGTTATTACTGGCTGCTGTGTGTTGACCGCGTCAGGTGGGCGGCGGGGCGCCCCGAGCAGTCGGCAGCCCAGGGCGGATGGGGAGCGCTCAGTCGCGTTTTTATGTTTTC